CACATGCAGCCCAGTCAGTCACATGCAGCCCAGTCAGTCACATGCAGCCCAGTCAGTCACATGCAGCCCAGTCAGTCACATGCAGCCCAGTCATCTGTCGCCTGCTACAGATTTTGAGGCGCCTCAAAAGCCCCTCTTCTTGCCTGTCTCCCCTCCCTTCCCCAGCCTTGGCCCACAATCGCCTGCTGCACCTTCCAGTGCTGCTACTGGCAGTCATTCAGGTGAGAGGAAGGGGTGTGCATGGTGGTTGGAAGTGTGAGATAGGGACAATGGGAATGAGTGCACGAGGGAGGGTGGGAGGGTTGCTATGGATGCACGGAGGGGAGTGAGGGAGGGAGGGTCAATCGCTTGCTGCCATTGCCAGTTCTTTGAGTGGCTGTCACTAAGGTAAGGTTAGCACGAGGGGTGTGGATGGTGGTGGTGCTGCTGCCGCCGCTGATTGTGCTGGTGCTGCTGAGCCTACCATCACTGATTCTGCTGCTACTGCTGATTCTGCTGCTGCTGCTACTGCTGCTACTGCTGATTCTGCTGCTGCGACGTTGGCTTGGGAAAAACAGAGGCAATGAGATGAGATGTTACGATGCAGAAAAACAGGCGGGCCTTGGGACTGACCTTTAAACTGACCTTGGGACTGACCTTGGGACTGACCTTTAAACTGACCTTGGGACTGACCTTGGGACTGACCTTTGAAGTGATCTTGGGACTGACCTTGGGACTGACCTTTAAACTGACCTTGGGACTGACCTTTAAACTGACCTTGGGACTGACCTTTAAACTGACCTTTGAAGTGACCTTTGAACTGACCTTGGGACTGACCTTTAAACTGACCTTGGGACTGACCTTTAAACTGACCTTGGGACTGACCTTTGAACTGACCTTGGGACTGACCTATAAACTGACCTTGGGACTGACCTTTAAACTGACCTTGGGACTGACCTTTAAACTGACCTTGGGACTGACCTTTAAACCGACCTTGGGACTGACCTTTAAACTGACCTTGGGACTGACCTTTAAACTGACCTTGGGACTGACCTTTGAACCCACCTTGGGACTGACCTTTTAACTGACCTTGGGACTGACCTTCGGACTGACCTTTGAACTGACCTTGGGACTGACCTTGGGACTGACCTTTAAACTGACCTTGGGACTGACCTTTAAACTGACCTTGGGACTGACCTTTAAACTGACCTTGGGACTGACCTTTAAACTGACCTTGGGACTGACCTTGGGACTGACCTTGGGACTGACCCTGAGACCGACCCTGTGGATACTCGCTGATTGAAGAGAACAACGTCGTTTCTGCAAACATCACCTGTGGAATCATTACATTGAAACAGAAAAACGGGAGTTCAAACTTCCAGAAAACCCTAGTAAGACGGTGCCAATAGGTGTGAAAACAGGAACGTGTTTCAGCATGTCATGAAGCGGTTATCTCGTATATGGTCAAACTATCTAAGTCACATAAAAATACACTGTCTTATTGATTACCTGTACAATTGATGAAGAAGGACGCGCGTGGGTACTGGCGCTTAGCTGACTGGACGTCCTTGAGTCTGTCTTGGAGTGAGAAAAAAACGAAGAAAAAATTACAAGTATGGAACAGAGGTGAATCATATGGAACAAAAAAAAAGGCTCTCATCAGCTTTTCACGCTTGAACAGCAATTTCCGCCACGCATTGCGGATCCCTGAAGCAGCAGGAGACTCTACTCCGTTCAGGTGAACAGGAGGGCGTTCGACAGCTGAAAAGCGACATGTCCTTCCCCGACGTAACCAAGAGCTTACTCGTAATGAAGGTGACTTTTGAGTCGAATCAAAAGTCACCGCGAGATGTCGTTCCCTGACGTAACAAGGAGCTTACTCGTAATGTCTCTGAATGCGACTGATCAAATTCGCCTTCGAGTCGCTCAGCCGCAGGCCGTAGTAGCGCAGATAGGCCTTGCAGAGCTCACCAGTCAGCTTGCTCCACTCTCCCGCTGCGGTGGGAGTGAATCATGCAAATGGGATGAGAAACAAGAAGATAGTAGCTCAAATCATCTAAAAAGTACAAGACAAAAGGCAATTTGATTAAACGAGTACAGGGTAGGGTTGGGGAAGTACCTCGAATCAAGGATAACGCCTTCGCGTACGGATTGGACGGCAAAGCGGAGACTTTGTGATCAGTCGTATTGCCAGCAGCCTTCTTCCCCGGACTTTTCGAGATAGTAGCTTCTGGCGACATGAAGTAGCTTCTTGTTTTCATCATACTTTCCGTTTTGCCGTCCGTTAGCACGTCATTGACATTTTCGTCCACCTCCCAGGACCTGTCGACGTCATTGTACGTATCGCCGTTACTATCGGCATCGCTGTCGATATCCCCGCCACTATCGCTAAGACTGTCGCTATTCCTACTACTATCGCTGTAGCTGTCGCTATTCCTGCTACCACTGTCCCTGGCACATTCTATTTCGCTGTCACTTAGCGTTTCATATTCGTCATCACTGAGCGAAAGAGCTGTGCATGCGGACCCGCCTTTCGCCATGCTACAACCCTTCCAACGGTCATGCAGGTGTCTTCGTCTAAGCGAAAACCAATTCTAGGGGCTGAATGACATCAGACATGAAGCATAGAAAGGCCTTTACTAGGAAACGTATACTCCGGCGAGCCTACACTGTACTGCCTTGATCTTCAGACGCATAGTCACACTCTCACTTCGCGAGCTCGGGAGATGCTATGATGGCAGTCAGTCTCATCACTCATCGCCGTTTGAGACACCAGTCATTCAGCCGCGTCAAGTTTGAAAGACTCGCCAGTTAGCCGTGTGAGAAGATGTCAGTCGTCGGATAAAACACCCATAACCAGGACATGGCGAGTTTGAAAGTTTGGAAGAGTTTGAAAGACTCGCCAGTCAGCCATGGTTCAGATCACAACCAGCACATGACTGCAGAAATATCAACGGCGAAACCAGCCATGGATTTTAGACATTCGACATGTCACAAACCGAAGCTGTAGCGTTCTGTAACATTTTGAAAGCTGTCTTACCGTAATGCACAGCTCCGAATCAGGCAGTCCATTAAGACTTTTTCGTGAACCAATTACATTACGGTCACCTTTCGTCTAACCGTTCCAGAATGTCGCACACAGCTCGCGTAGCGGAAGTCGCGAAAGTTGAAATCCAGCTGATCATTGGCCAATCCCGCTCATTTTCGTCAGCCTGTCACATCTGCAGACATGTCAGAAAACCCTGGCAGTTTCTGATTTCAATTTCAACCCTCGGCGGTGCAGCACTGCACAGGTTCTGATTCCCCAAGCCTGTACTCACACTCGTGTTCAGCAGCCCATGGAACCCCACCATGAAGGGTCTTTTTTCGTGTAAGAACGAATTGTACTTTTTTTTTTTTTTTTTTCTGGTGAGCATAAGTATACTACACGCATACATACACTCGCAGTCGTAACTGATTCTAGGAGGGCATGCAGGTGGTTACAGGTAACCAGCCCCCCCCTTCCTCCTTACGGGGGCAGGAAAGCTACACCGCCATCTTCCCATATGGCCTTGAAGCCCGCTCTCCACGTCATCGAGGCTTCGTTCTCATACAGCCTGTTCAAAGCCGTTGCCTCATCAGCATTCAGGTGACTCCACTCCCCTGTCCTCTTCGAACCACCCCTGCCAGCCAACCGTTTCCGCACTCTGCTTTATATCTTCACGTGTCTCGTAAAACTAACCGCCATGCGCCTCAGTGCTCTCTTAGGCTGGAAACGACTGCCACGGAACACCGCATTGCACCTCTCCAACCACACTTGCTGTGCTGTAATTGAAATGATTGCAGCTTTCGGAAAACCGGTCGACGTGCCACTCTTCTGGAACAGCATGTCCCCGAGTGACTTCATTTCCCTGCCCGGGTTAATGCACTGTACCGCACCCTTCATCACCTCGACCACTTGCTGGATCGCCGGGCAGCTGAATAAACAGTGGTCCTGCGACTCCACTCCTCCACAGTGCACGCATTTCGCCCTCTCCCCCAAGAAAGGGAGCCTCTCCCCCACTTGCAGGTTATTGCTGTGCAACCTCAGCACCACCTCACTCGCTCTGCATGGGGTTGCCAAAGAGTCCCGGACCGTGATGGCCTTCTCCCAATCGATTTTCTTCCCCGTCTCCTCCTCCCACCGCAGCTGCTGCTTGGGTTGAGACATCAAGGGTTTCATCGCCTTCCTCAGCTGTTTCAGCTCAGCCCGTTCTCCCTTTTCACAGATCGGGGAGTGTAGCAGCCTTGTCCTTGGGGTACCTAGCGGGCCACGAACTCTCCCGTCAATGACCGCCATGGGCGTAGCTCGTAGGAAATCCACCGTCCCCACCTCAGCGTATGTCACCAACGACACGAAACCCTTTTTATCCACTTCCACCCTCCTCCCGTATAACACGCCGTCTTCCACGTGCTCCAGCTGATAGTAAAGAAACTTTCCCGGCCAGAACGACGGTGAGCAGATAAGCGCTGTTTCCCTGAACACCTCCTCCGCCATCAATTGGTTAAGTATCAAGTTTCTCCATCCTTGGGGCGCCGCTTCCCAAGCCTTGAGAGCCCACTTCCTCTGCGCCTCACCTCCCAGCTCCCGTTCCAGGACCGCCTCGCTTTTGAGACTCCTGCTACCATTTGCCTCTTTGGCCACCAGGTCCCCAGACGGACGCCCTTCAGACAGTGTGAGCCCGCCTGATTCCCGAAGGGCGAGTTGCCACTGAAGAAAATCTTGCGGTTAAAAAGCAACTGCTCCTCCTCCGCGTCCCATCTGTGTGCAGGGTCACCCATGGTCACAATTTTTTATTCCCACAGCGCCTTCACCGCTGCCTTCCACCTCGTGCCGCCGCCCAGCCAATGTTTTAGCACTGAGGGGTGGGCGTAGATCGTAGCCAAGCCGAGCGGGAAACCAGCCGCCCTTTCCCATAGCCAGTTCCGTAGTGGCACCTGTTCCGCCAGAACTTTTCCAAGATTTTGTGTCACAATGCTGTCAATCCGCTGCTTCAGGTCAATCACTCCCAGTCTCCCTTCTTTCCGCCCCCTGCACGACAGCTCGTAACTCCAGAGGGTGAAATGCCTATCAAGGAGCGCTCTTCCACCCGAGATGAAGTTGTGGCACAGCCTTTTCACCTTGGTCCAGATATCGTGCGGCGGAGCGTAAATCTGTGCTTGGAACAACAAAATCGGCATCGCGTAGCTGTTGATGATTGTGACTCGTGCCGACGTCTTGAGGTGCTTTGATTCCCAGCAGCTCAGCACCGCGCTGACTTTTTCAAATGCCTTGTCCCATGCAGGTCCCGGCGACCCTCCAGAGGTGATCCAGATTCCGAGTAAACGCTCCGACTTTCCTTTGTTAGCCCATGTGAAACGCGACTCTATCGGCTGCAGTCTCCTCCTGTTCTTCCCCAGCGGCATCAGTGTCGTTTTGCTGCTGTTCACCCTCAGCCCCGAAATCTCAGCAAATTCGTCGAGCAGCCTACCCGCTGTAGCCACTTGTTCCTTCCCTCTCAGGACAAGAGTTGTATCATCGGCGTACCCAATATAGGCTAGCTCCCCCTTCACCCCCCGCTTCCGAACTCCCAGATTTCTCCTCCCTATCTCTTGGCAGAGCGGCTCCACCGCACAAAGGAAGAGATAAGGGGCGAGTGGACAGCCTTGCCGTACTCCCTTGTCCATCGCCACCCGATCTCCTACACAACCGTTCAGCAGCATCCTGGTTGCTGCACCATCGTGCAAACCTCTCACCCATCTTACAAACTTCTCCGGAAAGCCCATGTTGCGCAGCGTTGTGAACAGGTAATCACGTGACACGGAATCGTAGGCTTTCTGAAAGTCCACCAGCAGCAGTAGCCAATCTTCATCCTCCGCCTCCGCTGCGTCAATTACATCTGCTACCAGCGAGACCGCGTCAGCAAGGCTCCTCCCCGGAAGAAAGCCAAACTGTTTGTCCGAGATCACCCGTGGTAAGACCTGCTTGATTCTGTTCGCCATCACTTTCGCCAGCAGTTTGTAGAAAAAGCTCAGTAAGGTGATCGGCCTGTAATTGCCCAAATCACATCTATCTCCTTTTTTGTGCAGCAGGATGGTAACCGCAGTCGTGAAAGCCTCCGAGAGTACACCCGTCGACTCAAAGCCTTTAACCTCCTTCATCACCTCCGGGCCGAGCAACTCCCAATTCTGCTCAAAAAAATCCTTCGGTAGGCCGTCCTGCCCCGGAGCCTTCCCCGCTGGTAAGCCTTTGAGCGCTGCCTTCACCTCTTGCTCCGACCACTCCGCGTCAAGTTGCAGTTGATCCTTCTCCTGCAGTCTCCTTTCCTCGTCTATTGGCCACGGCACTATGTTATGATTTGACGGTGACTCCGCGCATGCTTCTCTGAAGTGCTCTGAAGCCGCCTGTAACACATCCTTCGCCCCTTTCCTCTGCACCCCCTTGAAAACTACCTCCAGAAACTCCGTCTTTGCCTTTCTTGATTTGACCAGCCCCGACAGGAAACCCGAAGGGGTCTCGCTCGCCAATTCCATCAGCAACCCCGTCATGACCTGCAGCCGCTCCTTGTTGCAGTCCTGATAAAGCTTGAGTGCTGCTTCGGCTTTGATCAGCTCCTCGTATAGGGCTTGCGATCTGGCATCCGCCATCACTTTCCACCGCAGCTCTTCCACTTTTTGCTCCAGATGTAACAAAGTCGCTCTCACCCTCTTCCTTTCTTCTACTACGTGAGCCCGCATGCATGCTCGCAGGTTCACCACAAGCCTCTCCAGGCTTTGGTCCAAGCTGCTCCCGTGCGACGTCACCACCGCTGAGATGATGTTCTTGACCCCTTCTCCCCCAGGCCGAGGCGTCTGGAGCCTCCACAAGCCAGGGCCGCCGCCTTGAGCGTCACCTTCACCGCAAACCAGTGGTCTGTCAGGCCATAGGGTACCATACTATGCTTCACCTCTGCTACACACCCTAGCAGGGAGTGAGAAACTAACGCCCTATCAATCCGTGTACTCGTCCTTGCAGATCTAGAGAAGAAAGTATACTCTTTCCGCGTCGGGTGAAGACTCCGGAAAGCATCCTGCAGATCCCATCTCGAGCAAATCTGCAGAAGCTTCTGGTTCTCCGCCGGGGTCCCCAACTTCGAGGACTTATCCAGCTCCGGGTCCGCTACAATATTCAAGTCCCCTATGAGGATGGTATAAGAAGAGGCGCCTAGGCCTTGCACGAATGGTGACAGCTCATCTCGGAAGAAAGTCCCCCTAGCGGTTGCCTGCGCCGGTAGATACGCCGCTACTATTCTGCACTTCAGATCTCGCCAAGATATCATCAGGCTCAGGAGCCGACCAGACGCATTTCTACTGACTTCTGTAAACCGCATCCCTGGCAGGAAACCCAAGACCGCCACCCCTCCTGCTCTCTGCGATGGGCCAACCACCACCTGAGCCTCCGTTCTCACTTGCGACCAGAAATTGTGGTCGTCTGGGACACGCGTATCGGTGAGTACCACAATGCTCGCTGCTTTCCTGATCCATTTTGCACATCTTTCCTGCTTCCCGCTGCTACCGAGCCCGTTGATGTTGAGCTCGAGAATGGTAAGGTTGTTGTGTTTATTCATTAACCCACTCCTTTGAGCCCCTCAGCATCCACGGGCGATTGAGTTTTATTGCGACGATACAACCGGCTACAGCGAAAGAGAACATGGCACCGACTACACAGCCTGCTCCCAACAACCATCTTGCTGCCTCCTCCCTTCTCTTCATGAGACACGTGTCCAGGCCACTGGTTATCATGCTGCCGTCTTGACTATGAAATCCTTCTTGAATTGTACTATCCTCCGTAATTGCTTTTACTGATACTTTGGAGGCCGGACTCAGCAGACTAGCCTAGTATTCAGTCCTAGCACATTCGTCCTAGTGAAACGTCTTACTCCAGCTGGTTTCTGCAATACCTTGCTAGCTTCATTGTTACGTGGTATGGCGTTGACTCGCGTGTTGTTCGACCACTTGTCGGACGATCTTCTCTGCACTATCCTCCGTGAGAGATTTAATCAGGCAGCGGCGCATTTCTCCCTCGCCCTGGTCTGTAAGCGATGGTATCGCGTCGTTTGTCTTACTCAAAGGTCGATCTTCTTCAAGAGTGATGTGCAAAACACCCACGTTCTCCGATCTCTTTCTCAGTTTAAGAACCTGGCGTCTGTAAATATAGTTGGGTCCGAGGGTCCTGGCGACGATTTCCTCATTGGCCTGGCTTCTGCCTGTCCCAAGCTTACGGAGCTGCAACTTATGAATTTTAGCCGTTCCACAGTAACGCGTACGGGTCTAGATACACTGCTCACGGCATGCACTGACCTGCAGATACTCTCCTTACACTTGTCCGTGAAGATTGAGCAGATGCCGATTTCATTATTCGGTTTAACCTCATTGAGAGACCTCACACTCAGTTTCGGCCTCGGCGAATTCCCTGATCAGTTCGGCAGGCTGAAATCCCTGAAGAGGTTGACAATGGAGTGCCTGCACATCACAGATCTACCAGATTCGATCGGCCAGCTCACTGCATTGACCGAGCTAAGCATTTCCAACTGCAAGCGGCTTGAGGATCTACCGGATTCCATCGGCAATCTTCGTTCGTTACAGAAGCTGGAAATTTTCCGCGCGAAGCCGATGGAAGTTCTCCCTGACAGCATCGGCCAGCTTCAAAACCTCGAGAATGTTCTTCTCTACCACAACCGGTCCCTATGCGAGCTGCCGGATCCCTTCTTCCATCTCCCGTCTCTCAAGGTTCTCAAGCTGTGGGAATTGAAAGATCTTCCGGAGCTCGATAGCACTGTGTCGAATCTCGTGAATCTCGAAATGCTTCAGATTGACAAATGCTGGTTCGAATCGCTCCCGGATTCCCTCTGTCAGCTTCCCAACCTCCGTCGCCTGATGGTCACTGACTGCTGGGATCTTACCAGCCTTCCGCAAAGCATCGGCGACGTATCTTCATTGCAGCGTCTGAAATTCAGGGATCTCGGAAGGGTGACGCAGCTGCCAGTCTCCATTTCAAAGCTGTCCGATCTGCGATCATTCGTCCTGAAAGGATGCGGTGCCATCTCCGAGGTCCCGACTTCTCTCTTCCAAGACTGCACGAACTTAGTGAAACTTGAGTTTGACTGGCCATACAGCTGCAGAAATGGCGGCCGGGCTGGAGGAGCACCTTCAGCTGAAGCCTTCGTGTCCAATATTTGCACACTATCCAGCCTTACATCCCTTGTCCTGTCTGGTGTTCCTGATCTCCATACCCTTCCTCCCCAGATTGGGAATCTCTCGGAGCTGGAGCGGCTGAAACTTCGTTTTTGGAACGAACTGACGAGCTTGCCTGACTCCATGTCCAAGCTTGTCCGCCTCTACACTCTTGAGATTGTTCATTGCCCGGATTTCGATAAAACGATCAATGCGATTCCTGGGCTTCCACGTGTGGATATCGTACGGGAGAGCAGTCACAAAGATTGGGGAAGCGACGATGAGTGGGAAACTGACGACGAAGGGATGCTGTAGAAGTAAAGGTGAGCATTTATGCGTGGGTGCGTGCTTACCTTATTGATGATCACGAGAGTGGATGTACTTATTGCTCTGCTACTTTTAATGCGGGCGAATATGTAGCTTGGCTCTTGGTAGAATCTTCTTGTTTACTTCGTCTCTTCCCTTTTTTTACCTTAACCCTCTCATCTCGACTTGCACTCGCTCTCTCCGCCCTTTTCCCCGTGCCAGTCCTTTCTTCCGCCTGCGCTGTGAGCGTCTCTCCTGCCAATGGGGCCAGACGCAGCCGCCGTTGCTCCTATCCGCGCGTCAGCACAGGCGGGGAACCAACCTTCCGCCCACCCCTCCACTTCCGCCACTCCCCCTTCCGAAGATCACGGCGAGCGGGCGGCGGCTTCCGAAGGCGTACGTGCGGAGCGTGACGGCGCTCATCAGCAGCCTGCGCGATGCGCTGGGCGCGGAGGAGGGCGACCGGGGGGAGGTCCGGCGCAAGGCGGAGGTGGCTAAGGGCGCAATCCGCGCGTACCTGGGGGAGTGGCGGGGGAAAGCGCCGGAGAACACTGAGGTGAGCGCAGGGGAAGGGGGGAGTATGCGCTGAGAGGAGGGTTGAGCGGGGGGAGAGTTGAGGGGGAGGATGCATTGGACAGAGGGTTGGACGTGGGGAGGGTTGGACGTGGGGAGGGTTGGACGTGGGGAGGGTTGGACGTGGGGAGGGTTGGACGTGGGGAGGGTTGGACGTGGGGAGGGTTGGACGTGGGGAGGGTTGGACGTGGGGAGGGTTGGACGTGGGGAGGGCTGGACGTGGGGAGGGCTGGACGTGGGGAGGGCTGGACGTGGGGAGGGCTGGACGTGGGGAGGGCTGGACGTGGGGAGGGCTGGACGTGGGGAGGGCTGGACGTGGGGAGGGCTGGACGTGGGGAGGGCTGGACGTGGGGAGGGCTGGACGTGGGGAGGGCTGGACGTGGGGAGGGCTGGACGTGGGGAGGGCTGGACGTGGGGAGGGCTGGACGTGGGGAGGGCTGGACGTGGGGAGGGTTGGACGTGGGGAGGGTTGGACGTGGGGAGGGCTGGACGTGGGGAGGGCTGGACGTGGGGAGGGCTGGACGTGGGGAGGGCTGGACGTGGGGAGGGCTGGACGTGGGGAGGGTTGGACGTGGGGAGGGCTGGACGTGGGGAGGGCTGGACGTGGGGAGGGCTGGACGTGGGGAGGGCTGGACGTGGGGAGGGCTGGACGTGGGGAGGGTTGGGGAGGGCTGGACGTGGGGAGGGCTGGACGTGGGGAGGGCTGGACGTGGGGAGGGCTGGACGTGGGGAGGGCTGGACGTGGGGAGGGCTGGACGTGGGGAGGGCTGGACGTGGGGAGGGCTGGACGTGGGGAGGGCTGGACGTGGGGAGGGCTGGACGTGGGGAGGGCTGGACGTGGGGAGGGCTGGACGTGGGGGAGGGCTGGACGTGGGGAGGGCTGGACGTGGGGAGGGCTGGACGTGGGGAGGGCTGGACGTGGGGAGGGCTGGACGTGGGGAGGGCTGGACGTGGGGAGGGCTGGACGTGGGGAGGGCTGGACGTGGGGAGGGCTGGACGTGGGGAGGGCTGGACGTGGGGAGGGCTGGACGTGGGGAGGGCTGGACGTGGGGAGGGCTGGACGTGGGGAGGGCTGGACGTGGGGAGGGCTGGACGTGGGGAGGGCTGGACGTGGGGAGGGCTGGACGTGGGGAGGGCTGGACGTGGGGAGGGCTGGACGTGGGGAGGGCTGGACGTGGGGAGGGCTGGACGTGGGGAGGGCTGGACGTGGGGAGGGCTGGACGTGGGGAGGGCTGGACGTGGGGAGGGCTGGACGTGGGGAGGGCTGGACGTGGGGAGGGCTGGACGTGGGGAGGGCTGGACGTGGGGAGGGCTGGACGTGGGGAGGGCTGGACGTGGGGAGGGCTGGACGTGGGGAGGGCTGGACGTGGGGAGGGCTGGACGTGGGGAGGGCTGGACGTGGGGAGGGCTGGACGTGGGGAGGGTTGGACGTGGGGAGGGCTGGACGTGGGGAGGGCTGGACGTGGGGAGGGCTGGACGTGGGGAGGGCTGGACGTGGGGAGGGCTGGACGTGGGGAGGGCTGGACGTGGGGAGGGCTGGACGTGGGGAGGGTTGGACGTGGGGAGGGCTGGACGTGGGGAGGGCTGGACGTGGGGAGGGCTGGACGTGGGGAGGGCTGGACGTGGGGAGGGTTGGACGTGGGGAGGGCTGGACGTGGGAGGAGGTGAGCGAGGGCTGAACGAGGAGAGGGTTGAACTCTCTTTCACGAACTGAAATGGGGAGTGGCGAGGGAAGGTCACTGGGCAGCAGATTGTATGGAGGTGAGAGCAGGGGACGAGGAAGATGCGTGGGGATGTGTTAGATGCACGGGGATGGGGGAGATGCATGTTGATGTGGACGATGGGGAAGATGTATGGGGGAAAGGGTTGAGAGGCTGAATGAAAGGCTCCTTTCACGTAATGCCTAGCCATGCCTTCTCACTCTATCCCACTCGTCTGAACCTCATTTATTGCCGTCTTCCCCCCTCTCCTCCCTCTCTCCACTATGCCACCGTCACTTCCTCTCGCGACTCTGCTCTCACAACGCTCTCCCAGTTTTACATGCCTGGTGCAAAAAAATCAATGGCAAGCCTCCCTTTATTTTTTTAGGCGCCTCAAAAAATTGACTCTGCTTTCACAACACTCTCCCGCTTATACATGCCTGGTGCAGGGGAATCAATGGCAAGCCTCCATCTATTTCACATTCACTCCCTAACCTCCTCCGCTCGTCCCCCTCGTCCCCTTTCCCCCTCACCCCCTTTCCCTCTGCTGCCGTTTCCCCCTCCTCCCCGTTCCCCCGCCTCCACTCCTCCCCTCCTTCCCTCCTTCCCTCCTCGCTCTCCCAATCAGGCCATCAACTCCTCACTCGACTCTGCTCAGAACGTTCTCCCGCTTCACATGCACAGTGCAGCGAATTTAACACTAGGCTGCCTCTTCTTTTCATTTTCACATTCTCCCCCTGCCTTTTCCCACAACCCCCCTTCCTCCCCCCACTCCTCCCCTCCCAATTAGATCATCACCTCCTCTCTCGACTCTCTGCTCAGAACGCTCTCCCGCTTCTACATGCGCAGTGGAGTCAACGCGAAGCTTCCTGCTGACGTAAGAGACGGGATCCTTGCTGAGCTGGCGCTTGCGGAGGCTGCGTTGTGATTGGTAGGGGTCGGTGGTGGTTATCCAGTTAAGAACTCTGCAGCAACATATGTTATTTAAATAACAAGCTGCTGATTTTGCCTGAATGCACAAAACACAGCTGAGGCAGTTATACGAAATTTCTTTCTAATCTGTTGGCAGCTCCACTTTCCTTGGTCAAAGCTTCTGTACGAAACTACAACGATGATGCATATTCGTAATTTGTGCCTCAATAACACACGAATTGAGCCATGCCAACCTGGTATTGAACCTTGAACTTGAGTCTCCATAATTTATCCTATTTACTTCACACTTCACTTCACTTGGTATTTCCACTTTGTTGAGCGCAGACTTTGAATGACACAGTAACGCGCGCGCTCGCTGACTTTGTTGAAAGTACTCAAATTGACTTGACATGGCTTGGGTTTTTTGCTGGCAAGGTTCAGAGTATCTTAAACATATTTGGGTATTACATATTCTTTGTGAGAAGGGAATTTGTTGCGGAAATAAACCAGTAATCGATTTGATGAAGGCGAGTTGAAGGGTGTAAGCGGCTACAATGTCGATCGAAACCAGCAATAGTTTTCTCCTGTCAGGCTGGTGCCTGAATGGACATTGGGAGCAGTGATTTCAGGCTGACGTGGCTCTGCTCGAACTCCAGTGTCGCATCGCAAAAGCGCTCGGCTGGTTCACATTTGCTGAAGTGGCAAGAAATTGCAGTCCCAGCAGAATCAGCGCTCTTTCTCCATCAATATCGCAGATTAATCGTCTCTAGGCTGCGTTCTGCAGGCGCATCAGCCCGCATCAATGTACGGTACATTGATGCGTTCGACCATGGTTCCAGGATCCTTCCATGATAACCTGCCGACAAGTTATGAAGGCTCTCGATAAGCGCATGGCTGCCGAAGCAGAACACAACCGAATGCCTGCAGAACGGCCTTTTTGGCTTTCGAAATTTGTAATGTGATTGCTTTCCAAGAAGTTTCATTTCCCAGCAATCGGGCGCATCATTTCCAAATCATACACCCCAATTTCAAGCAATTTGGGCAAGTAAACAGGTATCACACGAGTGGCCTACAACCTCCGTCAAGTGTTTCGAGGCTGAGATGCGATTTCGAAGCTGCCAACCTGGCGCGTCAACGAATCGGGAGTTTCCCGAAGCTGCCAACCTAGCTGCCCAAGCAGTTCCGAGAGTTCCGAAGCTGCTTGGGCTCTTGTCCTTACGACGCGACCCGTCGACGGTATCTTCCCCACTCAGCTCAAACTGGAACTTCGAACACATCCCCCGAAAACATACCTTCCCTCCTCCCCCCCCCCCCCCCCCCACCCATTTTTAAAGCGACGGTGCACATTTGCCACCCAAAACTCAGAACCCTGGCGAACTGTTACTGCGGATGGAAAGTGTCCGCACGAAATCCTGGTTTTCGCCAGCCAGCACTTTCGCGCTGGCAAGCCTGGTTAAAAAAAAAAACTTCTGAACCCAACACTGCCAAAAGTTGCCCGTCGCTTTAAGAAGTTCTTACTTCCTCGCTAGAAATGCATTTCAGGTTTCATTCTAAACTTCATAAGGTTTGGTTCTCACGGGAACAATTTTCGGAAGCTAGAAATCGCTTGACTCGAAGTCGCACATGGCGGACGCATATTACTACCCTCGAGTCGCGCGTTCCGTGACCGTTCTTCACGGCGCGGCGTTGCGCGCTCACGTTAGTACGACAGCGTGCCTCCTCCTGCTACTGCTCTACTCTTCACTGACGACGGCTTTCCCGCCTATATCAAGGCAGCTTGTATCGAAGCTACCTGCTGCTCGCCGCGGACAAGGACTCTCCGCGCAGACAGTTCCGCCTAGCGCGGCGCAATATCTCGGTGCGCGGCGGGCGGAGAGAACATTATTCATTGATCCCTGCTGGACAGCACCTGCGTCCGACGCAGCGGTCGCCGGAACCAGCAGTGACCCGTCGCAGGCTTCGGCGGCTGACGCGGCGGCTCTCTGGGCGATCTTCGCGGCCGCGCTGCTGCCTATCCCGGCGGACAATCCGTGCACGTGGACCGGCGTGACTTGCTGCACCGGCGGCGTTGTTAAGCAGCTAGACCTGCAGCAAAGCCTGGAGGACATCGTCAACACTAGCCTCGCGGCCCCCCCACCCACGCCTCGCCTTTGCAACCGTACTGCGCGCGTACCCGGTGGAAAGTTCCCCGCAACCCTCTCCGATTCAATCGGCCAGTTGACGGGTCTCACCGATCTCGGTCTGACGGATCTCTGGCTTGCTGGCTCTTTCCCGCGATCGTTTTCCCGGCTTACGAAAATGTCGAGTCTCGAAATTAGCGAAAACTGCTTCGTGCATGGAACCATGCATCTCAGTGCATGGAACCATTCATCTCAGTGCATGGAACCATGCATCTCAGTGCATGGAACCATGCATCTCAGTGCATGGAACCATTCATCTCAGTGCATGGAACCATGCATCTCAGTGCATGGAACCATGCATCTCAGTGCATGGAACCATGCATCTCAGTGCATGGAACCATGCATCTCAGTGCATGACACCATTCATCTCAGTGCATGGAACCATGCATCTCAGTGCAAGGAACCATGCATCTCAGTGCCCATGCATCTCAGTGCATGGAACCATTCATCTCAGTGCATGGAACCATTCATCTCAGTGCATGGAACCATGCATCTCAGTGCATGGAACCATGCATCTCAGTGCATGGAACCATGCATCTCAGTGCATGGAACCATGCATCTCAGTGCATGGAACCATGCATCTCAGTGCATGGAACCATGCATCTCAGTGCATGGAACCATGCATCTCAGTGCATGGAACCATGCATCTCAGTGCATGGAACCATTCATCTCAGTGCATGGAACCATGCATCTCAGTGCATGGAACCATTCATCTCAGTGCATGGAACCATTCATCTTAGTGCATGGAACCATGCATCTCAGTGCATGGAACCATGCATCTCAGTGCATGGAACCATGCATCTCAGTGCATGGAACCATGCATCTCAGTGCATGGAACCATTCATCTCAGTGCATGGAACCATGCATCTCAGTCCTTTTTGAGTCGACTCAAAATGACTTTTGAGTCAACTTTTGAGTCGACTCAAAAGTCATCTCGGAACCATGCATCTCAGTGCATGGAACCATTCATCTCAGTGCATGAACTAACATACTTCCATTGAGCATTCTGTAGCAGGACCCTAACAGCCGTCAACAGTTTTTGGTTGAACCCAGCATCTTACTATTTCGCAGGAGGAGTGTGGCGTTTCAGCAACACTCCTCAGTAGGAACCCAGCACCCACGCACTCCTCAGCCATTGCCCCGTTACCCCAGCACCCAACCATTGATTTTTTTCTTTTTCTTTTTCTTTTTCAGCAGATCTCAGGGCTGCAGCCGATCTTTCCAGCAGCCAGCAGCTCACAGCCAGCAGGACTGCCATAAAATCTTCAACACCATCACATGCTATTTCCCCACCCATTCCTTGACAAGCTTCAGGAAGGTCATGATGCTCAGCCGCTAGTAGCAAGAGGGTCTGCTGTGTAATCCTCTGTAGCAGGGCTTCGGCAATTTTCAGCTCGATTCTGGCAAAAGAGAGACACTGTGCAGTCCTGAAACTGGTAACAGCCGACACTAGTTGATGGGGTAGTGATCCTTGATTGACCTCATTTTTCCATTCAAGTATACTTATGCTTCATACTCAGACATTCACCTTCAATGCTGTTATAATCCCAAGTGGGACTTAGCGAAGGATCGCTCAGGGTTGATCGCAGAGTAGTGTTGCAGCGGAAGTTTGAATCTCATGTCAGAGTGAATGTAAATGACTGAGTTGATAATAGCATGCATACATCGGGTTTATATAAGAATACAGGGGAATACGAAAAGACCTAGACTAGCCATGTACTCTAAGGGGTACATTCCCTTATTACAACCGAATTCAAACCGTGCGGCGCGGGAACCCGTTTCAAACCTGTTCCCGCTCTTTTCACTTCAAATGTTTCTGCCAGCATCGGTCTTGGTTAGGCGGTTGCTGCGTCGCTTCGACTCTTCTGACTCCTCGACTTCGTACTTGGTAGAGTCGGCTCCTGCAACATACAGGAATGCCTACTCATAGAACTTCATATCGTAACACTCCCCTTCATTCCTGGACGCGAGTAGAGCTGACTCGCTTGACTACTCCGGTGAGGTCAGAGCAGTGTTTGTACTGCTGACGTGGCAGGCGCTTGGTGAGGAAGTCTGCTGCTATCTCAGTGGTCGGGCAGTAGGCGAGGTCAACTTTGCCTTGGTCGATTTCGTCCTTGACGAAAAAGTACCGAAGCGCGATGTGCTTCGTGCGGTTCACGAAACCTGGCTTGTTCGCGATCCTGATGGCACTCTGGTTGTCGCAGTGAAGGCGAAAGGTGGGCGAAGTTGGAATTTTCGCCTCCTGTAGCAGCTCCTGCAGGTACAGGCCTTCGCGAACTGCTGCTGTCGCGGCGATGTATTCTGCTTCGGCCGATGACAGGGCAACCAGTTCCTGCTTCTGCGAGTTCCAGGAGATTGGCCCAGTTGGTTCCAAGCGAAAAATGAAGCCGGTTCGGGACCGTCGATTTGCAGGGTCAGCTGCATGATCTGCGTCCACGTAGCCGTTGAGGGTGAAGGAGGTGGTCGTCAGCGTGGAGTAGGTGAGCCCAATGTCAGGAGTAGAGATGAAGTACTGCAGGGCGCGCTCCAGGTCCAGCTGGTTCTCTGCTACTGGCTTGCGGGAGTACTGCGCCAGTTGGCTGGCGATGTACGAAAGGTCGGGTCGGCAGGTGACAGAGGCGAATAGCAGGCACCCCAATCTCTGCTGGTACATTTGGAGTCCTGCGGGCGACAGTGGTTTGTTGTCCGGTTTGTAGTTGGTGCTGGGGCTGCGGTAGGGAGTTGAGAGTGGTGCGGGTGAGATGTTGAAGCGTTCCCCCAGCTGTTCTGCGTACTTGGAGGCTGACAGATGAATTGCTTCTGGCGCGTAAGTGATGTTTAACCCCAAAAACTGCTT